GTTTTAGAATTTATGTTGTGCTAACTTGTTTCACCTTACACTATAATATTAATGAGTTTCCTCATTTAGGCAACATCGTGGAAATTTAGATATAAACACACCCCTTTAATCCTGCCAACCTCTACCACAATGCTGTTTTTCTCTTTATTTTTCTTCCTTCCTAGAGGCCATCAAGGAAACATTACTTGTAGTCATCATCTTCAACTTATTTCCTTCATGAGTTCAGTGTGGTAATTGAGTTTATAATCAACTCACACATACAGTTCTCTCAACAACTCTTATGTCCCTACCTCCCTAGTGAGCTGTTAACATTTCAAGAAATTATATTGTAAAAAAGGCAAATACGCAAATATTTTAATTATAATGGCTCTTTATGGATATTGTGCATTATTTGAAAAAAAAATAGTGCATTTGCCTATCATGTTTCTTGTTCTGTACAATTGAATCCCAATTGAATATATAGGATACTTATATGTGGCTAAGTATTTGTCTTTTTCCCAAAGGGAAAAGCAAATTCAATCAGCTTGATGTACAAAATTTCACTTGGCTTTCAAGCACTGATGTTTGAAGGTGGTATATGAAGTTTCAACTTAACTTTTAATATATGCTTTTCTTCTAATTAACCTCCCTGTTTATGGGCAAATATAAAAAAGCTTTGAGGATTTAAGGATGTTGTGCAATGGCATGTATGTATTTACTAATGGGATATACTGGTTCAGTATTCAATGCTAGATGCTAGATTATGTTGGCATTTAGTGCTGTTGTACTCATGGTCCCAACTAGGCAAGTTAATGGGCAGGTTCACACATTTTCCTAACCCACCCAAAGGACAAACCACTGTGGGCTGCTGGTTCACTGAATAACCCACAATGGTGTTGAAAGATGATCAGTGTCTCCAAGACTTGCCATCACTTGTTTTTTGGTCAATCACCCACCCCTTGGCAGAATGAAACTTGTTTTTCAAAGAAAATTTAAACCCTGACATTCTCTTTGGTGGTTTGAAAAAAAAATGTCTTGCATTTTGTCCATGGATATTGCAGGGTTTTTTTCACTTGCCTGAGAGGTTGCAGTCATGGGTTCTTGCATCTTTCCTTCCACTTCCTGAGATGCACAGATGCAGCCATGGCTTACTGTTCCTTTCCCACCTCCCTCCTGTTTGTGCTCCAGCCCCCCCCCCCCCCGAGCAGCAGTTCTTGTTCTGACTTGCTCTTTACCTCATTGCCCTGATGCACCACAGCAAAAGGCACTTTTGCTCACTGCCCCGTCTCTGCTCCTCTTCTAATCAGTTGGAGGAGCGATTATCCGTGCCCCTTTCTGGTGCCTGACAACTTGAGAAGCAGTTTAAGGTCTGCCTCCCACATCACCTGCTCCCCCACACACATATACTTTCCCTTAATCAGAGAATCATATTTAGCTCATGCTGTCAAAGCCCCTCACAACTGTTCTCTGAGAACAGGATAAGCATTTCTGTGTGAGCTTTCCTTATTAACTGCTACGCCACCCTGTTGTCAGCCTAGTTTCCCCACATAGTCCACCCTCCATCTCTACTGTGGAGCAGTTCCCAAATTCTCATAAGTGGACACAACAGCGCAACTCATTTGTTTATTTATTTTTGCTGCTGTGAAATCATGATTAGATTGTTCTGCTGACAGATCTTGCCACCGAAGAGAGTACTTCTGGCAACTAATTTAAATAAGTTTGGTAAAGCACTATAAAGAATATGAAGTTTACTGATAAGGGAAATGCTGCATAAAAGTGATGTTGATGGGGTGGGCATTGAATAAATGGGATAGCCTATGAAGTAAATAAATGGGGTGCAGTTGTATGTTAAAAGTGAGGTGTTAATTAGACTAATGAGGTAGGTGGAGGCTTATATGGAGAATGCTGTCAGGTAGACGATTGTGAGGGGGAACTGTTTGCATTCCTCAGGCTTGCCAAAGGTATACTTATGGGGATAGGATGTTTACACAGGGTAAGTTTTCTATGGCATTAATTGGGGTATGGTGGGAATGGGAGGGCTTACCTACTGTTCACTAGCCAGTATGACAGTGGCAGGTGGAATAAGTCTACTGCTGTAGGACCTGTGTATGGCATACACATAGTATGTATGGTAATCATCCTAGATCTACTTAAAGATAGCTATGCAGATAGTGTGCTTCATGCCATGTTGCTATTTCAGATGATGGATTTATTAGATGTGGGGCTGATTTGAGCACTTGTTGATTTCAGTGGTGTAATACTCAGTCTCTGGCTCTGGAAGCTGTCCTCAAGGAGGTTATCCTCTCCTTGATTCACAAAATGCTGTGCAGGATTCAACAAGTGTCAATGACATCTGGTATGAATACTTCCTTTACAACCAGATGCATGTAAAGGAAGCACTACCATCTTTTCAAGTGGTCAAAAGCGTGATCTAGCATGGTTCTGAGGCAGCAGGAAGTGTTTCTGTTGGAGCCCAGTATAGTACCATGAGCCATGGTTGATGTGCAAAAACCTGGAATTCCAGTGTATAGTGATATTATGTTTTTTCCCCTAAACATGAGTGTTTATGGTCATAAATCTACCCTTATAATCCACAAGTGATTTGAGAACCATGCTATGGAAACAATTACAATTGTAGAATGCCTCAGCCTTCCTAAAGTGTGTTAAAACATGGATGTGAAGAATCCAGGACACCTGCTATAAGATGGAAACCATCTGTGTTTTCTCTCTTCCCTCAGGCTTTAGATTGGCAGAGCTTATTTGCAACACACACTGTTTCACTGGAGATTTTACATACAGTAGATTCCCCAACTCCAAAGTTAGCACTGAGAGGAAGGCACCCAATGTTGAAAGCAAGTTTGTACATAGTCAGCCACAACTTGTTATTTCAGATATAGATTTCCTCATTACTGTGTCTGAATGATTATGTGACCTTATTCTGCTGCTATGATTTCAAAAGTGACCAAAGGTGTGTGGAAAGTTCAGCAAAATCTGGCATTATCCCAGGCATCTGTGTTCAGTATTGATGTCCAGACAGCTTCAGTATGGGCAGTGCTCTTCAGTAAACAGTATAGCAGTCTTCTGTATGCTGCTCTGCTACAGCTGCTGCGTTCATGGCATCAGAGAATTTGTTCAAAAAGGCAGATGTCTCCAGCCACCGCAGACCAAAAAAATCATGTGTGGTCATTTTGAGAGACAGTTCTTCCCCTTCCCATCCACCTCTATCTTAGAGGTGCAGTGAGCCATGATAGAAACCATGCACAGTATCATGCAGTGGCTCTGGATGAGCTTGTGCTGATCATTTTTTCTTTTTAAAATAAAACAAAGTTCTTCACAGCAGCAATTTCAGCTTTCTCTGCCGTAACTCAATGGGTTCGAGTAGTCATGTATGACAATGCTTTAGCTGTGAAGACAGGAGGATTTGAAGGAGAAGAAGGCGAATAAATACAGTTGTGAGAAGGATGCCATTTAGAATGAGTTGAAAAATGCCTGACTCCTTGGCAGTGCTGTGGGGAGAAAGCAGCTTCTGCTATTGATTGCTTCATGCCTTATGAAAACTCCTTAGCTGAGCAGAAGGAGCCAGGTTTTATAATGTAAATTAAATGACAGAGAATGAGAAGGGAGAAACATCAAGCTGCAGAAGCATTCTTAGGAGAGCACCCTTCTCTGCTATGGGTGCAAAAGCACCTCTCCAGCCTGCATAGCCCAAAGTCAGGAACAAGCAGGTCTTAGTTAATTAGCTGCAAATACCTGCAGAGCAGGAGGAAACACCTCTTAAATAGATGAACAAGGTTTATCCTAGTTGAGTGGAGAAACAGTGAAAAAGAAAGACAGATGAAACAGCTACTTTTGAGTGTGTTGTGACTGGTATCCAAATTCACAAACCAGTAAAAACAATCCCTTTGCTAGCACCCATGGTGGGAACCCACCTTTGTGGCTAAGGCAATGCCTTCTCTACTTAACCTGGTATTACAGGAGTACATGGTTCAGAAATGAAACTGAAATATTTCTTCCATCCCCTTCTCTCTAGTAAACTACAAGAGAATGTTGCAAATTGTAGCTGGAATGTGCCCTTGAAAGCACAGCAGGACAATCTGCTCATTTTGAATTTTTAATTTGCTATACAGATGGGATAGGAGCAGAACAGCAAAGTGTGGAGATGAGGAAGAGAGATGTGGCAACTTACCATGAAAATGAAAAATTAAGTTGCATTTTTTTCTCTGGTGCCATACTTCTTCCAGCCCTGCCTGCACAGAAGCATGTGGTTGGTGCTGACTGCTCTGCAGACCTCTTCAGTGAGTTACCTGCTTCCTCCTGCTTAAGCAATGATACAAGTACTTGTTCAATGACCTCTGCAGCCAAAGGATCTACTACTGGCCATACAGAGAAGGCAGGTCGATAAACTGTACATTGAGGTGGAAGAGAGTTGAGGTAGCACAGAAAGGTGATACTGCAGAGAAGGGGTGGGAAAATATTTGTGGTGCGTCATAAGGATATTTCAGCCTTGCCCAGATGTTTGGAAGGCTGCCACTGTCATTTGAATGGCCACTCAGAGATGTGGTCTGAGACTACCTTACTTCATGCACCCATTCACTTGAAGAGTGAATGCTATTAGGTATGGTCCAAATTGACTACAGACTAGATGCTCACTGACCTGTCTTCTTTAAAAGCTCACATATGCATTTCACTGGTTCTTCCACTGAGTCCCTTCTGAGCTGCACCTGGTCAGTTTTGCAGCTGTTTCAGAAATTTTCCACCCTTTGTGCAATGGTGACTCTTCCTCTTTAACTTTTCCCTTAGTAGTGTGAGCTCTGTAGCTGCTAGAATCTGCTGATTGTTTAGGTGGTTCTTTCCAGGTTCATCTTCCCCTTTTAATTTTACCCCCCCCCACACACACACACACACCCTTGTCTTCCAAGAAGTAGTGAAGGATGGGTTGCTAAGATCTGTGAAGAGGCATCTCAAGGTCAAATCTAGTGGAGGTGCTTTTTTTCATCTTCCCTCAGCTGAAACAGATTGGGAAGAAGGGTCCACTTACATCTTCTGAAGATTCAGTGGTATGAGTGAGGAACTGCACCACCATCTGATTCAGATCACCAATACTGTGATATACCTACTGTGCCTTCTTCAGAGAAAGGTGCAGAACAGGTGAGCCATACAGGTGGGAGACACCTGCTATCTTGGGGGCCCACATGCATACCTTCCAGGGAGAGGTTCAGCTGAATGTACAGGCAGTCCCTGGCTTACGAACATCTAAGTTAAGAACAACCCATACTTATGAATGAACTGCTATAAAGCCTATTAATTTAAAAAGATTAAGAGCCACACTGGAGAGCCAGTGTGGTGTAGTGGTTAAGAGCATGGGACTGGGACTCAGATGATCTGGGTTCTAGTCCCCACTTAGCCATGGAGCGAACTGGGTGACTTTGGGCCAGACACAGACTCTCAGCCCAACCTACCTCACAGGGTTGTTGTTGTGGGGATAAGATGGAGGAGGAGATGTAAGCTGCCTTGAGCCCTTTGTAGGAAAAAGGCAGGATATAAATCGAAAAACAAACAAACAAATAATTCAAGTTAAAGACCTGCAGAAAATCATCATCACCATAGAGAGGAAGAAAAAGGGGAGTGGGGGCCCAAAGTATGTCTTGGTGTCCCATTCATTCAGATAGGAAAAATTCTCTGGTATTTGCTTGGTGCAAAGAGGAGGCAACCGGTGAGTTGGGGGGGGGGTGGCTACAGATATTTGCATTTTTTCCACTTTCACCAGGGTTCTCTGCCCCTTAACCCGCATGAATGTGAAGGGTCAATTGTACATGATCTGACTTAGATACAAAATTAAAGACATTCTCAGGAACAGAACTCATTCAAAACCCAGGTACTGCCTGTATTTCCCTTGCAAAAGTACCCCAGAACAGGTAGACTAGCATTTTATATATTTAGATAGACTAGCATTTTCAAGAATAAAGATGACCTATCCATAGAACTAGTTATCATTGTCAATAGCATTTAAAAATCATTGAATTGAACATTTTAAACCATCTTATATTTTGAATTCTCAAAATGATAATGTGAAATACGTTTGTATTTGACTTGGGAAAACCTGTTTTATGCTTGAAAAGCAATTTGCATTCTGTTGTCTTCTCAGACATATGCATCTTTGACATGTCATGTAACACCTAAATACCATGTTGAGTCACTTGTTACATAGTGAATGGATTCATTTTAACATGAAGCTATATGTATGTGGGAAGTGAGGGAATACCCCTAAAGAGTAGGATAATGTACACATCTGTTTTACTAAACATATCAGAAACCAATAGACTTGGATCTTGGTTCTTCCTCTAAACTCTAATTTTAGTTTGGTGATGGGAACACACTTGAACACAGTACTTACACACAGATGTCCAGTTTTTGAGAAGTTTGTGATCTTTTTCACACTCCAGATTTGCCCCTACTTTAATAACCTGTGTGATACATATGCCTACTCATTGTGAACATGTTCCATCAGCTGCATCAGTCCACACCAGTGGGTCCAACTTCGGAACGAACTGCTTCTGCTCCAAGGAGTGTTTGCTACATCTTCAGAGGCTGTTTTACTCAGAACTGGCTAATAACGAGTCCTTGAATGGCTCTGAAAAATGTTTTGCTCTTCCCCACTGCTCAGTTTTCAGATGGATGCTTTTTGCTTTTCCACTCTTTTGGGAAAGTTCCTGGGAAAGTTCTTGTTTGTCCATCATTTGTATATCTGTAATATGTCTGTATACCCCTTAATTATTCCTTTTTGCTAACAATTTGCATGTGGACAGTGTGACAAAATACTATTTTCTTAAAAAACTCAAGAAAGAAAATCTTGCTCACAAGTCTTCACCAAACTAAAGGAAATGAATGTGAATGTATGATCGTGCATATAAAGCAATGTGCAACCATCTACTGGCGTTTAAGGGTTGTATTTCTTTGGCCTTTTCATACTTTGTGCATGACCTACATGTATCTACACACACTTCACAAGCAGCAATAGGGATCTTCCACTGTATACTACAGCATTACAAGATCCTAGAGTGCATAAATTACTGTTAGAATCCTGGAGATTTGTTATAAAACTGCAGACTGCCCAAATCTGCCAAAAGTGCTGAAAAAAATATGAAAATAGCGCCTTTAAACTAGAGGGGGCAAAGGAAAGCAGACTGGAATGCAGCAGGGGCATTTGAGCTGGGACATGTACTTTGGAGGCAGTCCCTGACTGGGCATGTAAATAAGGTGGAGTCCGTAACTGGAAAGTGTACGTCATTGGATGGGGAACACCCATACTTATAGCTAATTCACTTTCAGGTGAAATAACCTGAAAACCCAGTTTGGGCTGCTATGGAAAAAAATAGGTATGTATGGAGAAGGGTGAGTATGCATTCACACTGATTCAGCTGTATATAATGTGGAATACTGGGTTCAGGCAATGGGCAAAGGAGCCTGATAAACATTTGTTGGATATATTTAGTAGTAAAACTTTGAAGCATTCTTTTGGATTGTTATTAATGCAGTTCACTCTAAACTCTGAGCTAGCACAATAGGTAAATCTGATTTAAATATGAAATATAAAGCTCTTAGCAAATAAAGTTGTTGTTGCTAGTTGCAAAGTTGTGTCCAATCCATCACGACCCCATGGACAACATTCCTCCAGGCCTTCCTGTTCTCTACCATCTCCCGGAGTCCACTTAAACTCCCACCAACTGCTTCAGTGACTCCATCTAGCCACTTCATCCTCTGCCATCCCCTTCTTCTTTTGCCATCTATTGTTCCCAGCATTAGGCTCTTCTCCAGGGAGTCCTTCCTTCTCATTAGGTGGCCAAAATATTTGAGTTTCATCTTCAGTATCTGGCCTTCTAAAGAGCAAATAAAGTAGTAACTGTTTAAAACATAATCATCCTTTTTAAACAAAAAGGATACATAAGAATAGCCATTCTGGATCAGACTAAGGGTTAATCTGTCCATCCTGTTCATACAGTGACTTGCCAACTGCTTAGGGCAGGGGTCAGCAACCTTAAACACTCAAAGAGCCATTTGGACCCATTTCCCACAGAAAAGAAAACACCAGGAGCCACAAAACCCTTTAGACATCTAAAATGAAGATAACACTGCGTATATCCTCTTTTACCTTTATGCTATGTATAAAAAACTATAGTGTGTTGCATTTATGAAATCAATGATTCTTTTATATAATCTCCATCTGTGAACAGCTTCCCATGCCTGACTATTTCCTGAGCTGCCACAAAACTAGCATATGTAGTTGAATTTGCAGACTTAATCCACTTCTTGAAATTATTTTTGTTTAGTTCAACTTCTGCATCAGTTCCAAAATGGCTTTTTTTCTCTCATCTCCATCCAGATATTTTTCAGCAAAGGCTGTGTGTTTGGAAATGTCTTGCAACATTCAACTTTTTGTTGTTTGCCAATTTCTCACCACATATTAAGCATACTGGTAAACCAGTCTCATCAGCAGTGAAAGCAAATGAATCTGTCCACGTACCATTAAACGTTTTTTTTTTTTCTTCTGAAACTTTTCTTTTCTTGGATTTATCCATGGTTGGCCTACTGGGGGTTGAAAAGCTCAATAAATCATGTCCCAGCGGGTGTTGCACATTGGCTGTTGTGACTCATATTTTGAGTGATAGGGAGCTGCAGCAGAGGGATGAAAGAGCCACATGCGACTCCGGAGCTGCGGGTTGCTGACCCCTGGCTTAGGGGAAACTCCCTAGCAGGATATGTTCCTTGGCAACTAATGTACACAGGCATACTGCCTCTGATTCTGGAGGTAGCCATTTATAGCCTTCTCCTAAAAGACTTTGTCCAGTCCCCTTTTAAAGCTATACAAATTGGTGGCCTTCACTACAACTTGTGGGAGTGAATTCCATAGTATAACTATGTGCTGCATCAATTAGTACTGCCTTTTATCTGTCCTGAATCTCCCACCCATTAATTTCTTAGGATAAACCTAAGCCCTACTATTATATGAGAGGAAGAAAAATGTCTCCCTTTCCACTTTTTCCACACCCTGCATAATTCTGTATTGTTTGCATGCCTTGTTTTTGGCTTGCACTCCCTTTGTGCAAGTTTTTGCTACCTTTTTTTTTCAATTGGGTAAAACTTCCATTTTTTTCAAGGAACTCAAGGTGAGTTACATAATTCTCCTCCTGTTCGTCTTATCCTTGCAACAACAATCCTGTGATGTAGGTTGGGCTGAGACTCTGTGAGTGACCCAAAGTTGCCCAGTTACCTCCATGGCTGAGTGGGGACCACAGCCAAGACCACCTGAGTTTCCAGTCCTGCACTTTCTAAATTTCTAATAACAGCACTGCTTCTTACCCATGTTGGTGACCACTTAGAGCTATTTTTCCTAACCAGTGGTATACATTCTAGCTGAGCTTCTATTATTATGGTTATGAGTAACCTTGTAACATCTGAAGGAATTCCAACCTCCTCACTTCAACATCCTTTAAACACTTCCCTCCTTTTAGAACTATCTTTTCTTTTGAAATAAAATGTGACTGAATTGGACTTACTTGAAAATTTTCCACTTTGTGTGTGCAAATATGTATGTGTACTGTGGTTACTATTTCCAGTTGGTTCCACAATATTTACATCTTGTACTAGGACTTGGGTGTGATAATTTAGGATTAAATCCAGGGTCACCTCTCTCTGGTTGATGACCTGTCCTGCTGTTCTAAACGAAAATCACTTAAAGTATGGGGAAAAATCAATCTCTTTGTCATGACTGAATCATGCATTCAGCAGGTCAATATGGGAGTAACTGAAGTCTCCTCCTCATCATGTGGGGGTCTTCCTGATTTCATTTACCATCTCCAGATCATCCTGCTGCTTCTGGTATGGGGGACAGTAGCATGTTGCTAGTACTAAATTAATTTTGGAACCTGCTGTTGCCACCCACAGCACTTCTGTGGAACAGTCTGCCCCTTCTAGGAGTCTTCACTGGTTAAACTTTGTCAAGTGATGTTTCAGTATTGTTCCTAGGATGTAAAATGGAATAAGTGTGAAGTAAGTGTTTAGGGATAGTTTAGGATGAAGTTCAACAGGGACATGCTCTGTACAAGTACATTAACAGTAAATATTACTTTGAGATCCATCAAAATAAAACAATACCAAAATGGACTTCCTTTCCACTGCCTTGCCTATGACCTTTCATTGATCATTTATTTATTGCATGTTTTATTCTGCTGTTCTACCAAGGAGCCCAAAAAAATGCCCTATTATTTTTTTCTTACATTCTGCAGTGGTGGGCTAGAAAGGCCCATGGTATTATATGCCTTCATACATAGGAGTAATAAATCCTTGGACAGTCATGTTCAACACAATCAACAGCAGCTGGGATACTTAAAAAAATGAAGATCAATTAATGTTGTCTACTGCATGTCTATACAGAGAAATTGTCTGATTCTCTTGCTGTCCTTTTGCAAGGGGTTTTACTAGGGCTATTTTTATAAATTCAGCTAGCTGTCACCAGCTAGTTCAGATAGATGTGGCTGGAGTTGGTTCAAGAAATTTGGCTGCCTGATAAAAAGGACAAGATGACACCCCCACCCCCCCCCCCCCCCCCCCTCCATGTACAGAAGCCAACTGGATAAGAAATTGAATCCTCCTCCACTGTTGGACTCTTCCACCATGCTTGAGGGTAATTGGTTTTTTAGGTGGTCCAGGGCAGGCCTTGTGACACTGTTTACTCCCTTCTACTTTCACCAGAACAGAAGGGAGTTCTGCTGAAACATCTGAGCAACTGCTGTCACTTTCCTACAGCATTGGTCACCTTATTCTACCTAATAGTACAGCCAGCCCTAAATGTAGCTTCCAGGCATCTGAGGCTTCAGGATAGCATTGCTAAGTAGAAATATAGATACTGTATATCTTTAAGAAGTTACAATGTGCTGTTTTGCCTCTTGCTACTGCTACAAATACACTTGCTACAGTGTATTTGCTCACCTTCCCCTCTTACATACAGTGCAACAAACCTGAAGTCCTGTTTCCTGGAGCCAGTAAGAGCAGGAAATGGGCAAAATGACTAAGGGAAGAGTAGGGTTTAGTGAAAAGTTGCAGCATCCTCTTCCTGTTGCTTTGGTTCTTTGAAAAGTTCAAGAACGATCTCTAGATTGATACCTGGCAATTACAGAAAGGAACTATTTTCCAATCCTCCTATGCACTACTTTTCCAAACTCCATTTATCATAAGCTTCAGGGGTACATCCAGATTCAGATAGTCAGCACCGTTTTGGTGAAAAAGAGATAGAATTCAAATTCTTAGTTTGTGTGTAGCAGTTTTCCCAGCAATACTTGAGGCATTGTTTAGTAGCCTGATGGAACTTAATGTTGCATTAATCTCAAGAGTTGTTTATCATATTTTCTTTCTAGTGCAGTTATATAAAACTGGTTTTCATTTTTGTGATTCAGTTGAGTCTTGCTTTTGTCAGTATGTCTATGTTCATACATTATGCAGATATGGAATGCGCAGTGCTATGCTTTTCCTGGATAGACAAAGTATTCTTTTTCTTACGTACTCTTTAGAAAGACTCAAAGAAGAATTTGGCTCTTGTTTTGTAATGTGATGTTTCTTGCAAATCTTCACATTGCTTTCTTATGGTGCAACCTGGGGATGTCGGACACAAGAGGTTTAGTATTTGGAATATCTGCATGATATGCCCTGTAAACCCCAGGTTCAGTATCGGCAGAGTATGTACCTTCAGTATAAGGAAGCCTTAGACAAAGGCAAATGACACCCTTCACAGCATTTCAAGGTTTCTGATTCCTGTACAAACTGATTCATGAAAAAACAATTTGCCTTACATTTCAGGCTTTTTAATAAAAATAAATAAATGGATGTTGTAGAATGCATATTCAGGGCTAATTAATGCAAAATAGTGATCTTTTAAG